TTTGATCAAAACCAAGAATGAAGCTCTCAGATTTTTGTCCTGCTGGGGCAAATAAACGACCCTCACCTACCGAAAAGCACAAGGCTGCTAAAACATCCCCCCCCCAACTCGAAAAAGGACTTTGTATTTCAAAAGGAGCGGTTGCAACCCCCAAGCGCGCGCTTCTGTTCGGAGGGAAACGGAAAGCCAAGCGACGAGCCCGAGCGCCAGGCGTCGGGCCTGGGAAGCGCCTGGACGCGGAGGATTTCCAAACCCCGCCACCTCCTTACCAAGCTGCTGCCAGCACCAAGTCTTCAATAACGTGTCATCATCAGATAACTGCCGGAGGGGCAGCTAAGCTCCTTAAATGAGGCACAGGTCACTTAACACACTGAAAGGGTCAATTAGGAACTTCTGTCGCTGCTTAATTGCTACAAGGGACCCCTGAGAAAGGGCGTTTGCATCCTGCTCCAGGCCCTCTCTTGCCTCTAGCTACAGTCGCAAGCAGTTCCCAGCTGGATGGGAGTTAGCGCAGGTCCTTTTTCACGCGCTAAGCTATGCTCTCTGCGGACTATTTCTTTTCATACCTAAAAGGCCCACCTCCCAGCTCTGCGCTGCAGTGAGAAGGGCGCAGATTTCCTTTGTGGCACGAAATGCCCAAATCTCAGCAGCACGTTCCAAGAGCTCTTCTGGAACTACTTTTTCCACAAAAAAAACCCCACAAATTCCTGTCCTCCACACATTGTGGATTCAATAGTCTTCCCCTTTTATTTCAAAGGGTTTCTTGTCGTCAGAGCATTTTAAAAACATCTTGAAAGAAGCACTCATAACTTCGTTCATCGATAAGGCTTCACCTATCTCAACTTGCATTTGAACTCACTAAGGTTTTACAGCTATTAGCTGTGAACTTCCACCACTGAAGATGCAGAGGGGGAATTTTCAGGTGGTTTCCTTCCTCTAGGAGACTGCCACTTACAGCTGATGGCCTCCTGTACCTGTATGACACAGCAAATCTGCCCTTTGTACCTCATGGACTGCCTTGCCGCGGTATTTCAGGTTATTTAGGGTAGCACTTACTAAATGAATATGGAACATGCAAAGCTTATTAAATGAAGCTCCAAGCAAAAACGCTGTATACTGTTGCACAGTGAGAGAAGTAAATTATTTGTCTAATTGTGGAGCAAATGACTTTTCTAATTGTGGAATAAACATGTGATAGGAATATATGAAACATGAATAATCTCAGAAATCAAACGGCTATCTTTTTACATTTGATGCAGAAACACTTCAAGAGGTTGGCTAAGGACCATCTCTCCGTTAAGGCTCAAGTTCGCTGGAAATCTCTGAGAGTCAGAACCCATTTGCGATTCTGTTTTTATTGGTATGAGAGTTACAGCAGAGCAAGGCCCCATTTAGGTCTTTCGATCTAGTCACTTGATGTTATTTTGTGAGATCCTGCAGGTTAGCAGGTACTGGGATACACAGACGACCGGTTTAAATGAATCCGCCTTCCAGGGGGCCCATATGTCCCTATTAAACACACTAATCAGTCCGAATTCAAACTACTCTGCAAAACCTTATATATATTTGCACTAACCGTTGATGTCTACTGTGAGAAAACTTGCACATTAATAGATGCCAACAAGCAAGAACGTATTTAACCCATTTAATCCTAAAGCACAATTTATTAATATAATGCTATAGCTGTGTACTTACAGGTACGCTCCCTCTTTCTCTCCGTACTGCTTACAAGTGCTAAATGAATTCAGCTTTCTACTACCTAAAGAGACGTATTTTCTCTGTATCACACAGGACGGCTGAAATATAGCTTAGCTCGGTAGCAAAGCACAACTTTGGCAAAGGCAAGGAAAGAAACCAGATGTGATTCTCAGCCCTGTGGCCTCAGCATAAAACCAGCTTTTCTCAATAAAGCTTTCAAAGCAAACTACTAGATTCTTCTCGAGTAAAATCTGGGAAGTGTCCCTCAGAGCTTCTGTGGAGAGTGTTTATTCACTCTGGAGATGAGAAAACTATCTGCAAGAATATTAAAAATTTCCAAGATAGGTAGATCACTTCCCATTTACCACTATTTATACTAGCATTATTTTCCACACTAGCTCCTCCATTCTGAACCTTACCATGAAATACAGTACGCCGCTCTCAGATACGTACATGAAGAGAAAGAATAACGAACTGCACCACTTTGACAGTGAAACATGACTACGTTAGTCCTTAAAAATACCTGCAATGGAAGCAGTCTACGCCAGACTGTTTTGATCCTTGGACTCAAGTTAAATTCTCACTGCCAGTAACTTTCATGCATCTTTAATGTGATGTAGTTTGAAGACTGTCATATCGGACGTTTAACTACATCACACTGAAGTCTGCAAGACCTTCAATTAAGGCTAACCTACAGGTTCCTCACCAGGAAACTTAGACATATTTCAATCTGATTTTAATAACAGTTAATCTTTTCCATCTATACCAGCTGCAGGGCCATGAATAAATAAAGACATGTTGCAATTCCGGCAGCTGAAAAAGACTGTGACAAGAATAAAAGTTGTCGTTCCCACTTGTAGTGCAGGAGAGCATCACAGCTGACAAGCCTGGCTGCTGCCTGGGCTCTCTTATTCAGAGGCAGTCCAGCAGATAAACACAAAAAAGGGAGGGAAATTGCCCAAAAAACACTAAAAAAACATGAACTGGAAAAATTATACTGGTTAAAGAATAGGAAGGGAACGTTCCAGTAGCGGTCTCAGACATAATCAAAATGTAAATCAGTTGGGACTAGTCTAATTTAAAGCACTACAGGAAAACGGTATGAGAAAGAGGGCACAGAAACCAAACCGACGTGCGTATGCTTACACGGTTAGCAGTTGCTGAAACTAATGATGAACTCGGCAAGCATAGCTCTCTTAAGTAATTGCTTGCTTTTTATAACCACCTGTACTAACACCAGACACAAAAAGGATGTTCAGGAAAATAACTGTTGAGTAATCTCAAGAAAAGAGCACACTTCACGGCTATTCCCCAAGCACATCTAGAAGACTGGGTGACTTCTGCTATTTCTAAAGGAAGATGGAAAAAAATTCAATAAAGGTTTTGGTACAGAGGGATGTGCTGTGAACACCCTGTTGCTGATCATGTATAGATCTCTTTATGGTTTCTCTCAGCTGCCCAAACCCTTTTCCCTTTCTTACACTACATGACAGAAGTTAACACTTTACAGTAGCAGAAGAAATTGGATTTGCATGTGCCTGGAGAAATTCTGCCTGTAGGCTGCTTTTTTTGCTTATTTGAGGATAGAAGGTTGACAACAACCTGAGTGATTGGTCACAGTTAATTATCAGAAGGCATATGTCAGCATCAGATAGCAGATGACAGTACTCTAAGAGCACCGTAGACTAAACTTGTGTTTAACATTTCTTCAGTAACACGGAGAGCAATCTGACTTTCATAAACTCAAAAACTACCAATAGCAAACTGTCCTATGAGAAGTGCTGCTTGTTGGAGGAAAAAAACAAGGTAATACTCAGATAAAATCTTAATCCAATGGTTTATACTGGTAACCACAAATAAAAAATTTACTACTACTTAACTGTCTGAGCACTACAGGTAGGGAGGGGCCTTTTCAGGGAAAAGGAGCAAACCATGGTAGACAGAGTCAGAAATATAGATGATCCCTATGCTCAAAAGGAGCCTAAAACATAAGGACTCTTTTTCAGAAAGCTGCTAGCGTCCCCAGCCACCGACACTCTCTTCAGCCTGGTGTTTCACAATGAACCAAAATCTGAGCTAATTTATCATAATGTAGCACTCTGCAGCAGTTCAGAAGCTGGTGCCTCAAGCCCAAAGTGGACAGCAAGGCTCATCAGAGAAACAGGGCAGATTACAAGGGAACCAAAAAGCTCCAATTATCTGACCTCTTAATCCAGCACAACTTTGTCAAAACATTAAGAACGAGATGAAGGCACACAAGGACAGAACAAGATAATACTAACCATTTTGACAGGCAAACGTCTCAAAATAATAGTCATAAAACCGCTGAGCTTTTCATAAATTCATACTGGCATCCCGAAGAGGCTTCTTACAAACAGTTACTAAGGTGGGACAGATTTTCTTCTCTTTTAAGCCAATGATACACCCCGCCTTTGAAATGGAGCAATACTAAACCTAAGCCAGACAGTCAGAATCCAACCCACAGCAACTGAGATTTGAGTTTCTCTCTGTTCAGTGCAGAGCACAAGACACTTGCCGTATGAAATGTGCATTGTACTCATCTCCATCCCGTCTCGGCTGCCAAATGTTTGCAGAAGCTTTAGCCCCGGAAGCCAGCCAGAGCATTACCTGCATCATATTGCTGTTCTCCATTCATCTCCACAGCGGCCCAGGGATTATTCCAAGCAGCCAGAAGCAGCGCAAGCCAAGCCCGTCACGGTTTGGTGGTCATGAGTTGTCTCCCACCTTCGATCCTACTGACAGTGAGGACATTCAAGAAGGGATGCGGAAAAAAAACCTGAAAATAACAAATGTTAAGAAAATCATTATCTGATATCAACTATTCTTCGATACATTAAAAATATTACTCTCCAGCAACAAGCCAAAAACACGAAAGCCGCAAGGCCACCATACTGCGTTTATTTACTTTTAGCTACTGTGCACACATACCTCCATCGGCAGACCAAAAACAGCCTCTGGAATAAAAATTCCTAAATCAGTTAGCCACAGAACCTATTTTCAACATCCCTGCTGCCCCCAAACAACCTCATCCTTCTCTCAAAAGTTCCTTCGACCCCGCACAAGGCTAAAAAGCATGGAAGTAACCAAGTTGAGGCTTAGGAACAAGGCAGAACAAGAATCAAGTTCTTGTTTCACCAGGACCAATGAAAACGTCAGAAGTCACGAAAGCTAAACCGACGCTGGCAAAGCGAGAGCAGAATAAGGGCTCACCAAATGTCTGTTCAGGCTGCCGGTTCTTAATGTTTTAGCAATTTGCTTTGCACAAGCCCTCAAGGGATTTGCAACTCCGGTCTCGTATTGTCGTTGAACAAGCTTAAATGTATGTATACGTTTTAGACTTACTAGATCCTTCACAGCTCAGCCAACATTTCAGCACCTCACCAGCCCCTGGAGATACCGGTGATACCGTTCTGCTATGAAACAGCAGGTCATTTATCCAAATGTTGTCTTTTGTATAAGTCGAAAAACCAACTAATACCTCTCTGCACCAAGATACATACTTTATTTTTGTTTCATTTTATAATCCTTTACCAGGCTATTTACCATTTCCTGGGTTTTATGGGTATTCCCATGGCAGTTCATTTTAATGTGTTTTAATTGATAACATATTTTAAGTTACTCAACATGAAAACAGTCACGTCGTTCTGGGTGTTTAAGAAACGCCTGCATCGACTTGACCAGCGGCAGCGGTTCTTCAAGGGGAAGCAGCCCTGCGCCGTAACAGAGCAGAAGGCTGCCCCTAACTGCAACACCTCAAAATTATCACAGCTCCGCGGGATGCGAAAAAACGAGTAAATCCTATAACTCCTGCTCCCCCCTGAAATTTAACCAGCCATCTCTTTAGTCCTTCCGCTCACCAGATTCCTTGAGTCTGCACTTAAAACTTTCCTCTCCAAGGGACACGGCTCCCCTCTGCTCTCTCGTGCTCTTCTCTGCCAAAAGCGCCCCAAACTGTTGTGGAGACAGCCGGGCAAGAACGTTTTGCAGTCTGTTTTGACAAACCCACCCAATCCAGCAAACGCAGAATCGTTGGATAACGTTAGGAGGGGACCAAGTACTGCAAGCGCTTGTCCCCGTACAAAATCATCCACTAAAGCAAGTCGTACAGTAAATAAAAACCCAGAGAAAATATTTTTTCATTACTATCGCACCTTGCATGAGAACGCTCTCTCTCTCTCTGCCTTGAAAACAAAATTATTGGTGGTAAAAACGCTTAAAAAATAAGATATTATTCAAAAGCCCTTTGCATTCTGGCTACTTGTCTGGGTAGCAGCTCATTTTTCTTTTTAAACAAGGTACTGGAAAGAAAGCAGAGGACTGAAAGTCTGTTTTCCAAAATGAAGGTGGCATTTCTCATTTAACAGATTTGGAGGAGCTACGGTTTAAGAGGGAAGCCCTAGACATCTGCAGAGTCTTTAAATGTTTCGAGTTTTGTATACCGGTAGCGTCTACGAAGACCACCTGACAACCCCCAAGAGAGGTTTTGCGGCTCCCCTCCTCCCCCTTAAATTTATTCAAGTCTAAAAACCACACCTTTTAAATATTTTTCTATATGGACAAATCTGTAAGAAACAGGAGTTGTCTGGCAGATGGGAACACAAAATCTTACCTCCAAATCAGTACCATAAATTAGCGAGAGAGACTCTCCAAGGTGATGCTGCTTTTAAAGGTGCATCTATTGTTCCGCTTTTGAAGGTGTAACTGGGCTGGACGCAAGGAAATTGCACGACTAACACAGATTGCGAACTACAGCTGGTCTGAAAAATCCTAACAAAATGTTTCTTCCTCCAAAAAATCTGTCTGTTTATTAAAAATTGAAGTTATTCCGAAGAAACAGCTGCATTGAAGCAAAGTTCAGGTGGGAGACCGACTGCTTCTGCCCAGTTCTTCACTGGTCCGTGAGACTTCACAGAGTTAAACTGCTGGAGCGGCAGACGCCAGGGCCGGGGCGGACGCGCGTGACGGGGACAGGAAAGCGGAGCGTTCCTGTCCCTTTCGATAGCAGTATCTCTAGGTTAGCAGAGTCCGCGTGCAAAGCGAGCGAATCGGAGGGTACCTACTGTTTAGACACGGAGAACTCGGCTAGTTTTTATGTAAACACAAATCAGAGCAACCAAACAAAACACCCCCGCGCTCTCCAAGTATTGTAATTCCGTTTGGTGGATTTTTTCCCCGATTTACTTCTAAAATACTAATTGTAGCGGGCTGCAAACGTTTGTGACGCCAGAATCGCCGCAGAGCATCCGGGCTTGCTGGACGGCAACATCGCCCAGGGCTAACTCGAGTTGCACTTCGACTGAAAACGAAAGGCAGAAGTGGTACTCTAGACTGAACTACAGTTTTTGGCATACATTTTAGCAAAGCGCAGCTGAAAGCATTGCAGAGCCAGGCTGACAACTCTCCTGCATGAAACTGCTACTGTCATTCACACACAGATAACAACAATAAACCAGAACAGAGGGAAAGAAATACCACTACCACCGTTCAGTCCTGTACCACTTCTAAAGTGCAACCAAGCAGAAGCGCTAGCAGTTTTAAAACGTTCATTACCACGTGAGGACTAAAAAGCCACACGAGCGGTAAGGCTGAACATCTTAAGAGCTCCTCTCAAATGATAGTTTAATGCCACAAAAATCTACTGCGCAGAAGTAAGATCTTATTTATTACAAAGTTGGGAACGCTACTGCTAGAGAACTCAGCTGCCGTTTCTTCTGTATCGCTTCTAACCAGTTCTCTACAGCAGAAAGCTTGTGCTCAGCACGTACCTACCAGGGTCACAAGCTAACTCGCAGTTAATACGTCTTGATGAGAAAGTTACTGACAAAATTAATCATAGGTACCACGTTATCTACCTCCACGCGCTCCATGTGTACTTTTTCCATGCTCTCAGGACAAAGTAGCGTAGGGTAAGCTAAAGCAACCTACCTTTCTGAAGATGGTTTCCTTCTGTAGACAGACCTACAATTTAAACTCACATTTACTGTATCTTTTATGAAATAGTGCTGGAAGACTATGTCATTGGGAACTCGCAGGATGCTTGGCAAACAGCAAAGACCGAAGCAACAAAACACCTTTTTTCATTAATCAAAATATTTCTAGGTAATGGCCTACAATAAGTCTATCAACTGTCCTCCTGCTAAGCCAAAACAAAGGCAACACTGAAAAACACCAAGTGAAGTATGTAATCCAACAATTTTTGGGATATACCACTAGTTTCTAACAATCTTGCCCTGGCAAAGCACGTCAAAATTAAACTGTAATTAAAATATTTTCAATTTATGGTATCCAACTCTCAAATGACTTCTATAACTAAGCTAGATCATGTAAAACCAACTTCATCTCTTTTTGCAACACAAAAACATTTTAACAATCCCAACCACCCCCACCCCCACCAAGGAGGCTATTTAAAAAGTGCCAAATACTTGCACCTCTTCTTGAAGTCAATTCAAATTCTGTCCAAGTTAAGTCTGAGTAATTATTCAGGATTTCCTAAACAGCATCAGTGTCTTATGTACACAAAACTGAGAGTACTTGCAAATAGCACCAGCCGTGTCCGATGCTTCAAGTGTAGCACGCCAAAGACTATTTTTGAGAAATCTAACTGGCAATCGGCAGAGGACACACAACGTACTTATGGAGCAGAGCTGATCGGGAAACATTTCGGACTCTTCAGCTTTACTTTTGCATCTCAAACCTTCTTTCGGCACATGAAATATTGAGATGTTAACAACTGGAAGCAGCATTAAAAACAGTTACAGTTCATTAAAGCCAGATGGCTCACTTGAATATGAAAAGAAATCAAACGAGTTGGATGGTGAATTAAAGTAGATCAGCTGGTGTCTGAGGCTTAATATTTTAAAACAAAGGAGCAGGAGACCATGGGGACACGTGATAAAAGTTTGAAAACGCCTGCTGTTTGTGCAGGAGAGTCGAGAGCCTTAAGTTATGCTGCCAGACAGAGTCTACAGTGGGATGGCACGGAAGCTTCAATGGGTCTGGATCTGGTCTCCCCTTGCCACCGAACCTCGTCTCCTCCCTTGCACCAGAGCTGCTCCTTGCACCTGTCAGTTGAACCTGTTGGGAAGCTAAGCCAACAGAAAGCAAAACGTACAAGAAAAAAAAAGACAAGTTTTCCTTGACTAGCTCACTTCTCTGCACTTAAGCGGTCATGCAGGTCACCGTTGCTCTCCTGGTTTCCAGCAATCACTAGAAGCATTAGATTTGCGACAGAAACACAAGAGCACAGCCTACACTAGCCCTAAAGGCGACACTTGCACAGTGTTGGGAAGGAGCTACAGAAAGGATCAGGTTTCATCAGATGCCTTCATTCAAGGCCCTTCAATAAAAATCTCTTAAAAAACCCTTTTGCCTATCATCTAAGGCTTCGCTCACCGTAGGCAGGCAGAACTCGTACTGCCGAGGTCTGGCAGAACAGGGGGGCGACCACAGAGATCTTCAGAGCCCGACAGCTACAACCCTGCCACCAAACAGGGAGACCATCAGAGCAGCTAGGAAACACAAAAGTCCATTTTATTATCCTTGCATCACACTCTGGAGGGGGAGGAGAGGAGGTAAATGTCCTCTTATGTCCAATCACACATACACCCGCGCCTTTCCACTCTAAGGAAATACTAATTATGTGTTCCCTTTGAGGGGAAAAAGCACACGTGCTTCGTCTCAAGGCTTTTTGTAACAAATCCCATATTGTAAGACTCGTGGTCATGGCTTGAACAGGGCCCTCGTCAGCACACCTTCTAATTAGGTCCGGTGTTTTGT